CAAGTTTCCGAAAATGATTCAAGCACTATGAGTACTATAATTCCAAAATGGTAGTCACCAAATTCTCAGAAATTACTAATTTTTTTGTCTCTTGCAGTAGTATATGGAAATTATATTAAACAGATGAGGAAAAATGATTAAATATATAGAATCACAACTACGACAATATTTCTGAGAATTTAGTGCCTACTGTTATGAAAATTGTACTATAGTGGTATTACAAGTGCTAACATATACTATTCATGATAATAATTACACATTTTCCCAACATGGACTTTATTTGCAATATGCGTTTCACTACTTAGTAGTTTCTTCAGTTGGACAATAGAAAAATTGATTTTGTGATTGATTCGGCCGTTACTTGATAGATCCATAGTAATTTCGTAAACTACACTTCACGATTTGATCTCCAAAGTTTGTGGAGATCAAATCATGAGGTATAGTTTATGAAAAAAAATTGATTGTTTACGTGTATTTGAAAATTTGTTTCTTCCTAAGGTATTTCTTACACGGAAATCAAGCTCAACAAATTTCAGAAACATCTTCATTAATGAATTCAACTTGTTTATCTAATCAAGCTTGTCAGTGTTGAATATACAGTGAAATTTGCGTTGTACTGTTATACGATGTGTTCATTAATTGGCTCTGAGCAAGGTACTTATGTCAGTGTTGTAGCCACTAACAAACTTTGCAATCGTTCGAGGCAAAATATCCTTTCCCTGAATGTTTTCATCGTTAGATATGTTAATTGAAGATATCACCTAATTTTTTGTTCAGGTTTATGGTTCAGGTTTATTCAGGTTTTATTGACACTGCTACTGTGATGCAAAAATTTCAATCTGAAAAGAATGAAAACTAAATTGTCGAGATGAAAAATAGTAATATCAGTAATAGTAATTAAAAGTTTATTACTTGTCAAAAACAATTGTTTACTAATAACACAGTAGAATTTCAAACTAGATGTTCAGATAAATATGTATTATTGGGTCAGAATTTCTTGAAAACTTTCTTCTCCCTTGAAGCATGTACAAAAATACACGGGATTATAATTTTCAATTCAATGAGTCTATTCTATCTACTGAAGATACTGAAGTCTAACTAAAAGTAAACAAACTACCTACAAAATTAAAAAAAAAAGTTTTATTGTTTATTATTTAGTTGTAATTTTGTCATTACCACGTATCGAAAACGATATACTAAAATTCCCTAATAGTAGGCACTAAATTCTCAGAAATATTATTGCATTAAAACGAAAACATTATTGTCAGGTTGTAATTTTATATATTTTATCATATAATTACGTTAGTATAATTAGTATTATTTCCGTACGTCACTGCAAGATACAGATTAAGGCAAAAACATCACAGTCATTTCTGAGAATTTAGTGCTTACTATTTTGGAATTATATTATAGTTTATTTTCTGTAAGTGGTATCTTCAACCGAATATATTTGTGCCATCAAATCCACTCAACTTGTTTAGGCATTTGAATAACGATGCAGCTAAACCATTTTAATGTATTCAGCATTATCTTCATAGTCGAATCAATTTCTTGGTGTAATATGACACCTTGCTCAACGCTATCATTAATTTACCAGTGATTCATAAATCGGTTACAACTTGATACATTAATATTTCTACGAGGGTTCTTCCACTGAGTCAGCGGAAATAATCTTCACATTTCACGTAGTGGTAAAAATCACAGTCATTTTGGTTCTTGTGATGCACTGTTTGGAATCTTTGGTGTAGTAATGAATATAGCTGGAGATCTCTCCCAACACCAAATCGTTATTTGAACACCTCGACACATGTTTCAACCACCAAGTGATCGAAACACCTGTCGAGGTGTTAAAATAACGGTTTGGTGTTGGGAAAAATCTCCAGTAATATTTCTTTTGGTCCTTGGTGAAGACAATATGTGCAAACGCCACATTCGGTTTTTTTCACCTCTTATCGTAGACGATGAAAAATTGGCAACTACTCTTCAGAAAGAACAATATTCTATTATGTGATGTTTGCCGCCAACTCTTCTCTGAACCATCGAGGAAATGAATCTCCAGACATAGTAGCTACAGATAAATAATACCTGGAATTGTGATCCGTCTCAAAATAATGGGAAACGTCTTCCTTAAATGAAGTAGGTACTCACAAAGAGCCAGTCGACATTTTACCAATTGTTTTCTTAATTGATGTCACCGACTAATACTATTCTTCTGTAGGTCCAGCTTGAAATAAATCATTTTCCAAAATATTTCAGATTTTTTGCGTTGCTATTCGTGACATTCAAAGTGATGAGTAGAGCCATCAATGTCATTGAAAACCTAGAACCTAGGATATTGGTTTACCAATATGGATCCCGCAAACAAATGGCAAAATAGACCTTCTAGCCCATGTCACAAATGTGTGCCTTAACTCTATCGAGGAATACAAAATATTTTCAACAATGGCTTTAGATATTCATGAAACATGGATGAAAGAAATAATGCATCAAAGTGCCGACTAGTTTCTCAAAAACATATTCAAGATCAATTCAGATAGTACTGATGTAATCCTATGAACATTATTCGTTGTTTTCAATATTGTTACAAGAAAACAGAAGTTCAGACCGAACCAGAGACCTGATTGTCTTATCAATTATCATAACATTGGTTTGTTTTCCAGTTATCTTCTGCACATGTATTTATGCTTGGTGGTTAAATTCTCTGATTCACTGACTCTGACTGATCCTATGAATCAATATACTATACCTAACATTTTCTGCTTCATATGAACAATATCAAACAGTTCGAGACTATCTGACGAACATTTTACATTGAAATTTCAAGAGTGAATCTCAATACTAGTAACTTAAACTCAGAGCACCCCAACTCACCTTCGAAACTACTCGAACTCAACCAAAGTACAGAAATAAGTCTCATTGACATTGATCCTTTATTGAAAGTGACTGATAACTTCAAGATAATATCATGATCAATGCTTCTAGGATACTTCCAGTTCATCCCATAAGACTTACACTTGTAAGTTAAGGTTCATCATAATTCTCTCGAGGTTCAAATCTGCCAAAGGACTGTTTAAGAGGATCGTTTTCCGTTCATCAGACGATTTATGGAACTCCTTGCTCAATGCGGTTTTCCCCTAACGCATGAATGATTAAGAGATATGCTTGATGCACTCCAATCAATTATCAGAAGTGATGACTTGCTATTTTTCATCAAATAACAAGACGAGAAGAAATTTCAATTGCATTTTCTTTTTCTGTATTGTAAGCTGCGAAGTTGAAAACCCCTAACTGTACACATAAAAATTGAATGATTCGCTTGAATACTCGCATGACCCGAAATTTGGTGAACTTTCCTGTAGAAACCAGTAGGGTACTGACCTTTAATATAACCGTTGTAAAGAATCGGTACTATTACTTCATAAATATGTATTTTTTCACCGAAAATTGGGAAATGATTCATGAGTGTAATTTATATTGAATGAAATTAGTATGCACCACACGCAGGTATTGATAATTTATCATTTGGTAACACACATTTACAGTTATTTCGTAACGAAGGAATACCTAAAATCTGCACATTGATCGATTTGTTGAGAACCACTTCATATTTAGGTTATATTTTTTTCAAAATTATCATTGTAAGGATGGAACCGTCTTGGAACAGTTATGCCTATTCCGAATGGAACATGCATTCAAAGATCTCAATCTTACCTTTCTCCATTACTTCATATATGGCGGGTATTAGATTTTCGAGGAAAGTAATTCATATATTTATTTCTCTGTAACTCCGAGGTTACTAGCGGATCCGAGAGGGCAAAAACAATAATTATCTCCAACCTTCAAAACAAATCTGGGTTAGTTTTTTTGGTCAGCTTATTAAAAATGTAAATCACACCATACAGAAAATGGAGCAACTCTGACCGATTGTGTTCATCCAATATCTCCACTACAATTCCACTTCCAAAATGTTTTTGCAAATATTATGTACCCTTTTAGGGTTGCATCAACAACAGACGTCGGGCGAAGACGTGGCGCGGACGTCGCGCAAATTTCTGTCTCTTCCGCGTGGTTGCACTACGCCGGATCAATGTCGCTTCTATATGTGCAATGGGTGATTGAATCATAGAAAGAACGCGGTAGAGACAAAATTCTTCGCCTCGTCTCCGCCAGACGTCCTTTCTGTGTGAATCGGTGGTAAATAAAACAGAGAAGAAAGTATATGGGCTTACTGTACTGAATATCCACATATATATCAACGTCTATGTAAAGAAGTTGAGAATCTTAGCGACTGGAGAAATGTACAGTAAAATGGATTAACCTTAGATTAGATCTATAAAAAAAATGACATCAGTCAAAAACCCAAATTACACTGTATGTGAGGTTAGGCAGCAGGATGATTGAAATGTAGACACAACATATATAGGTGTAGAGACAAAAAAATAACCTCAGGAAAGTCGAGACGAATAATTACATCACAAATGATATATCATTTAAAAAAAAACACCTGTTGTTCCTTGAAGAGGACCATGTGGAAATTTCAAATTTTGAGGTTGACATATGACATCAATAGTACCAGGCATGGTCTCTTCAGAACTGATGATGGGGCAAGTACTCCGAAACCGGTCTGTCTGTTGGTCATATCGACCAAATGAAATCAATTTCTACTCTACAGAAACATATTTTATTGAACAGATTTTCATAGTAGAAAATAATTTGCCACGAATCTTCTAAATCGAAGACGTTGCACAGGTGTCTGATGGTTTTACTTCAGTTTTCTGCGTGGCATTAGTTGGGTTATTTGTTATTTTTTCCGTTGGGTATCTGCCACAAGTACCCAGAAAGTCATAGGTCTACATAAGATAGAAATCTGAATCCCCCAAGATAGAAATCTGGATCTGATCGAAAAACCAAATAAATTATTTTCTTTTATATTCTGATATTATTCAATATGTGATTGTTTCAGTGTTGTTGAACAATTATTCATTTAGTTTTCATTTCAGGACGCGCCATGTCGGCGTGGACTCGATTGACGGAACCAGGACCCACCCTCCTCATTGTGGTCCTAGTATTATGCCCTCTACTTGGAAATGCAGGTAAGATAACTTTCAATTCAAAAAACGGTCACTTCTTGTGTGAAAAACAGTGAAAAGTACTATATTATTTTCGTCAAACTACAAACAATATAAAAATCACGCTGATCAATGCAGTGGTTTCATTTTCGTTTCATTATTTTACAAACCAATGACACTTTCTGAGGAAGTTTCTTCAATTTCGCGATGGGGAAATACTTGTCATTAAAATTTTTCACTGTACTCGTATTTTTTTTATTGTTCATATGTTGCCGCCCTTTTCCTTCTATAACTTCAAAAATATAATCGTGTTCAAGAAATAATTTCAGAATTCATTTGAGTTCCATTAATTTGTTTGCATATCTCATATTTCCATGAGGTTCTCTGTATTTATAACCTGCCTCTATTGAATCCTTCGTTAATTATGAGGTTTTCCAAGTTTTTCCAAGTGAAAAATAAAGACTCAACAATCAAATTCGTAGATTCTAACTTTGACAGTTCAATGTTCTTATTGTGATATTTTTTCTCAATTTGTATCTTATTTCTGATGCACAAATGTATGTACAAATGTAGGATGGAAGTGTATTTTTTCGTATTCCCAACAATAATAAATTAAAAAATCATGAAATACTCATGAGTGAGAAAAATAGAAATCAAAAACTATTTTCTTCCTGCGCATTTCTAGTAAATAACCCTTATCGTATCTTGAGTCGTCCATAATAACCAAATAATAACTTGATTTTCGCACTCACACACGTCACTGATATTAGCTGTTCAGTGAAACAGAACTCCGGAAGATGTTACTGAACTTTAATGCGCCGCTGGTCGTAAAATATTTGGTCGTAACTTTGCGGAATAACTAATTGAACAACATTATTGTGCAAAATGCTGTTAATGAAAAAGAGCAACAAAACACCCTGTTAACTTCGAAGTTAATTAAACGGCAATGCAGTTACAACAGGCGACTATGAAAAGGAATGGTGAAAAGATACTGAACATTTTGAGCTCAAATGGGTTCTGTTGTGATTTCGGCTTTGTCTTTAAACGCATTAATTGGATTGAGAATATTTTTTTAGTTGAATCACTGATGATTAATAATTGCTTCAATACATCTCCATGATGATTTGAAAGAGTCAACAGTTGCTACTTTTTCCCACATTTTTTTCCTATAAACCGCTGGCGGCTCAAATAAAACTATTCAACGATACAGTATTCTTCTCCAAATGTTTGAATACATGTTTCACCTACTTATATATTTATAGGAAACTGAGCAAACGAATAAGTGTATAGCTATTGTAATTACAAATTGCAGAACAAAAATCCCACAAGAACATTACAAAATTTATGGAAAATGATGGTTTCGAACATTCTGATTCTGATCAGTTATTATAAATAAACAAATCATGTTTTCGAAAGAATGAAGTATAAACCGTATATTTCAAAATGATATCCAAATTTTATAATTTTGATGCACAAACCCGTTTAAAATTGAAATATTCTTTTTACTTTCCATAGAGGTTCAATTTTTCTCTAAAATACTCAAAAATACTCAAAAGTTAATTCGTTTTGTTCCAATTGGTGAGTTTAATATTTATTAAAATTGAAAAATTTTAATTACGATATTTGAGTACGTAATAGTTACCGTGAAAAATTGAATGGTTTCGATAAGTCCTAACAAATATTCAAAAAACATTTCTTTCAAAAAAAATTACAACTAAAATTATTCAAAGAATACGTCCCATTAACCAAGTGTACTTATATTTACAGATGAAACATTCAAATGTTTCGTTTTGTTTATTTGATGTTTCGCAATACTCTCAAACAACAATTGCGATATGTTTTTGATAAGTTGTTAGGTGAACCATAAATAATCTACTTTGAAATGTCCATGTTACCATATGTGACAAATTCATCATTCTCGTCCTGTATTTTGGTTAGCAATAAAAAATATTTCAAATATATTTCAGATCCATAACCAGTGTGTCATGGAAAGTAATAATTTTGAATGATAACGATACAATAGAGTAGCACTTATGAATAAATGATTATTCATTTCTTATAGAAAGACAATTTTTCGTTGTTGATAAAATTTATTGAAACAGCAATAATACCTTTCCATTTCGTCGTACAACAGGGGCGAATTGAAAAAGAATTGTGACCATCTTTGAGCTCAGCTTCCGTTTATTTGAATATATTTTTAAATTATTTTACAATTCTTGACATCCATTTCTTATGTCTGGTATGTTTGTGCCTGGGCATTGTTTAATACCTCTTATTTTACTATTCATCGAAAAAAAATGGAAAAACGGAAGACCCCTGGGGGTCTACATCCCACAAAATTTTTCATAAATGACCAATAATTCATTAAAAAAGGAACCAGTTATTCAATTATATAAATCACACAACAGGAATTGCATTATTGGGAATTGGTGATTATATTGTATAACAGAGTAAGGATTACCTCTGGACCGGTATGTAGACAACACAACATGATGAATATAACCTCAATCTTATTCTTAGACGGTCTCATTTGAATATAGTCCTAAGCCAAAGTAGGAAATGATGATATTCATTCAAATACATTTTTTTTGTGGAGGACTCAATATTTCCTTGAAAACCTTCCACACTAAAAAACAGTAAGAAGATACGATGATCTTTTGTATTCATTATCCCCTTTCGAATTCATATAAGTACTTTATACAAAAAATGTCACCTAAATAGGACATACACGAAAAATATTTCCAAACGACGGTTAGGATTCCCAACTGCCCACACAATGATAGAAAGAATAATTCAATCGGAATATATTATCCTTCAAGAATGGAAAGTTCTCACCGATCAGTGAATTTGCGATTCTTAATTTCAAATTAAAAATGCAGCGCATGCCTGACCAATCAAATATGCAATGTAAGTTGTGTCGTGTATTACATCTGTTCTATAAACTGTTGACAACATTTACTGGTTCACATACCAACTAACCTCAAAAAATAATCACAATGTTGTTCCAGTTCATCAACTACATCACCGGAAGAATTTTAAAAGTGTAACAAGTATTTTATGTACCTAGATATATACTTAGGACAATATTCTCACTGTCTCAATCCAGGCCAAAGACATGTAATAAATTCAAGACACGGGTGGGCAAATATACAGGCACCCAGATTACATTTACATATCTTCTGGGGATCAGTTGAGAAACACCGCATCACATAATGTGCGAATGCACTGAATCGCAGCAGACATGACATCTTTTATCAAATATATATAGGAGTGTACTGTATATTTTATAATGAGCGCGCTTATTTTTTTTAGGTTACCTATACAAATAATGACCTAGTGTGAATCTGTTCTTGCCAACGTTGAGTTTTCATGCTACTTAAAATATTCTCAAACTGAGCATTTGATCAGTAATATATCATTTCATTTAAATTTATATCAAATTATGTAAATTTCATTTCTGATTTCTGAATCCTTGACTTTCGTTCGATTGTTTGCGTAGATCCTCGACTTCATATGATCCTAAAACAAATCACACGATGAAGAGTGAAGAGTTAGTTTTAAACGTTGAAAATGATATGAACATAAACCGAAATCTTTTCTCTAAATTCACCGTTTGATCTTTGCTGAGAACCACTTGTAGATAACAAATGAATTTGAAATACTTCGGAGTTAAATTTCTTTTTTTGCAGCATGGTGCAATAGTGCATTTAAACCAAAATACTTCAAGTCTATATCTTTTTTTTCCAAACAGTATCGATGTGTTTATAATATATTAAAATAATTGAGAACGTCTTTGTGACATTCATAACGTTCATTAATGAACGTTTCAAAGTGAAATTTGATGCTATTAACAATATTTTATTTTGATATGAAAAATTTTCTGAACGTTTTCAATACAGTTGAATACAGAATCCAGATACATGTATCAAATCACCAAAGCCAGAAAATTACTCCTACACAATAATACAGGTTGTTCAAAATTGACTGAAATTTCCAAAAATCCATTTTTAAAAAAGATTATTCCTTTTTTGGAAAGAAAACTTTTTATAGAGATGGAAAAGTATCAAGCAACAATCTTTTTTTAAAAAGTCCAAATATATTTTGCTTAAAACAATAACGAACGAAAAATACTAGTATTATTGTGAAAAAACCGTGGGCGCTTTGTGCCATATTTTTTATATATCAAGCGCCCGTCGCTTTTCAGTTCGATGTTCTTCAAAAGCGTGTTTTTATATTTATTTTTTACTTTTTAGTTTCACATGCTATAAAACCGTGTTTTTCAGTTTTTTCAAACTATATTTATTTTTCACTTTTCAGTCCGATTTATTGTCGAAAATATTTTTTTTAAGTTCTAGTCACTAGAATTATAAATCTTTAACAGTCAGCGTACGAATGTAAAATTCCTCTCAAACAACATAATAAAGTTAGAGGTCTTAAATTCTATAGTAATACTGAGATGCAGTAAGTCTCCAACAAATGGCGGACAGTTGAAAAATTTGTAAACAGAAAATTTGCAGTAATAATTTCAAAAAACAATTCAATCTTGATGTTTTGGTTTGAAGTTTCATTCAAAATATCAATGGACTGAAAATATTTTTTCAGTGAATAATTTCATTTTACAAATCAATCTTTTGATTTGATATGTATGTCAAGCACCTTAATTCTAATTTTTCGATTTTTTGAAATATTTAAGTAACTGAATTTTTTAGGTGTACAATTTACGATAAAGTTTTCATTGTTGTAATCCATATTCTGGTTTGCTTTCAAATAATAGAATTAGATTTTGAAATGTATCTCCCGTTTCGTTCAAAACTTTTTTCTGTACTAAATCACGGGTAATTGAAAATATTTGAATATCTAAATATTTCATCTGTAGTACAAAATTTCGCTATGTTTTTTATTTTGATTTTCTTTTGAACAACCTATCAAGGAAGTTGGGTACAGCGCCATCTTCCCGCGAATAGATTAAGCAATAATTGATACTTACGTACAGCGCCATCTGCCCGCAAATAGATGAAGAAATA